GGACCAACTCAATGGCACCTTACAACAATGTGGACTTAAAAAAAAAAAAAAAAAAAATCCACATCTCAGTAGCTTCTCACATTCAGTAGCAACTAGCTTCCTGGCATTTCCCTCCCAGAGCCAGAACAAGGCCAAGCTGACTGGCAAGGCGGGGGCGGAAGTGTCCACTGGTTGGCAGTTCTCAGTGAGAAGATTAAAACGTGTTACTAGAATGAGTTCCGCCACAGTCAGATCAGGTTCTCGTGCCAGCTTTGGCACTAACTCAATTTCTGTGTCCTTTTAGGCAAGTCGGAAGTCCCTGGGGGTGCAAATGGGTAACACGCTCGGCTGCTAACCCATCAAAAGTTTGAGGTTCAAGTCCACCCAGAGAAGCCTCGGAAGAAAGGCCTGGTGATCTACTTCTGAAAAAAGTCAGCCACTGGAAACCCTGTGGAGCACAGTTCTACTCTGACATGCACGTATGTACGTCAGAGCCGACTGGCCGGCATCTGGTTTACCAGTTTCGGCAGGTCACTTCACCTTTGTGAGTCTCATTTCACATCTGGGGAAAATGAAGGAGTTGTACCATATGACCTATAATTTGGCTGACCGCCCATTTTATTGTCTAAACGAGACACTTTTAAGAGCCAAAGGACATAATTTCAACAGGACAACAGGCATAAAGTTGAACTATCAATCCCAAGGGAACTGAGATGTAGGGCGCCCTTACCTATACGCTTCCTTCATCTCTTACTGCGGGCCCCCTTCTTCACCTTCTATACCTGGCTCAGAGCCTGGTACATCCCAGATGCTCACTGTCCCTGTTTCCTCTTGGGGAGCTGTTCTGCATTCTTTATGTAATCAAATTCATGGATCTGTTCTTCCACAATTTCACCATCTTATGAGAGTTCAATTGTCCTTGCGCCAAACAGCCGCACCCACCCTACTGCCAATTGGAATTTTTGCATATCCCCAGGTGGTCTCTGCGGACAGCAGCTTTTCAAAGACAGTCAATATTTAGGTATGCACCCCAAGGATTACTCAAGGCCAGTGCGGTGGCCATATTAACCCAACAGGACATAAAACAGAGAAATCTTGAAAAACACATGCTCACACCTGCCCTTACAACTGGACCAATAAGCAACATCATTATAAACGGAGAAAACACTGAAGCTGTCAAGGATTTCACTTTACTTGGATCCACAATCAACACCCATGTAAGCATCACTCAAGAAATTAAAGGGTGCATTGCATTGGGTAAATCTGCTGCAAAAGATCTCTTTAAAGTGTTAAAAAGCAAAGATGTCACCTTGAAGACTGAGGTGCGCCTGACCCAAGCCATGGTATACAAAAGCTGGATGATGAATAAGAAAGACCAAAGAAGAATTGGTGCCTTTGAATTTTGATGTTGGCTGAGAATACTGAATATACCATGGACTGCCAGAAGAATGAACAAATCTGTCTTGGAAAAAATACAGCCAGAATGCTCCTTAGAAGCAAGGATGGCAAGACTACACCTCACATACTTTGGACATGTTATCAGGAGGGACCAGTCCCTGGAGAAGGACTTCATGCTTGATAAAGTACCGGGTCAGCGAAAAACAGAAAGACCCTCAAGGAGATGGACTGACACAGTGGCTGCAACAATGGGCTCAAGCATAACAAGGACTGTGAGGATGGCCCAGGACCGGGCACTGTTTAGTTCTGTTGTACGTAGGGCCGCTATGAGTTGGAACCAATTCGACACCACCTAACAAGTCACCCAGAGGAGCCCTGGTGGCTCAGTGATTAACAGCTATGGCTGCTAACCAAAAGATCGGCAGTTTGAATCCACCAGCTGCTCCTTGGAAACCCTATGGGGCAGTTCTACTCTGTCCTATATGGTTGCTTTGAGTCAGCAGCAACGGGTTATTGCTGTTACCCACCCAGAGGCCCTCAGAAGACAAGCCAGGCGATCTGCTTCCGAAAAGCCACAGCCTTGAAAACCCTACGGGGGAGTTCTACTCTGCACATGTGGGATAGTCACCAGTTGGAAATGTCTGGATGCCAACAGCATACATTGAGCAAATCTTAGAAGCAAAGAACCCGCGTACTTAGACCAAAAGTCTGATTGCCTAAACCCAGGCAGACCAGGGCACGTTTCCCAGCATGGCATGCAATTTGCTAGGCTTTCAAACAGCCTGTTGTTGTTTTAGGAAAGTGTTCCTTGGCTGTAACATATTTCCTTTCAACATTAATGCTATTTTCCGCCTTGTGTGCTTCAAAGTATCTGTCCATTTATTTACTTCCCAACTGCAATTGAGGGGACAGGAGGGAGAGGGGCATGACAGTCGCTGCTCTGTACCCAAGGAGACCTCTGCCCCTTCTGGAATGTCCATCGCTATTAATTAAAGAACTATGACCATGAGTCATGCCCACGGGTTTATGGGTGACATAACCAGACATTCTGGAAGAACATTCTGATTGAGGAAATGAACATCCACTCAGTTCACAGCAAGATCAAAGGCAAGAGGGTAGACTGAACGCTGCAGACGTCCCCGGAAAGGGACTAGCCTGGGTGTAAAGAGAACTGGACAGTCGGTGCCTTCCCGTTCCCTTGGAATAACGTGGGAAGTAAGTGGTGGAGAGTGCATTAACTACAAAAAGAGACGGTCAAGGAACGCTCTGTAGATATGCTGGCAAGGCCTGAATAAAGAACAAACAATCCTCATAAACACAGACAAAAGGAAAACCAATCACATTTTCATCGTTGCTAAGTGACGAAAGGGAAATTCTCTAGTTTCTGAGGATTCTCTAGAATGTCCGGACAAGTGCTAACCTTCAAAATGTTTAAGTCTTTTTCAACCTAAAAATCATGGAAAATCCAAGGTTCACACGCATTAAACTCCCCTTTTAAGAGAGGGTTCCCAAACATTGGCCAATGGGTTTAAATCACTTTTAGAGTTGGAGAAAGCCTTCCCCTAGCCCTGGCCCCAGGTGTGTCTCACACTGGTCACCTGTGCAGACCAGCAAGAACCACACCCACCCAAAGCCATACTCTCTAGGGCAGCAATCCAAGGTGGCATGCGCGCGGAATGCTGTCCCACTGGAAGAACCAAGGGACCCTATACAAAGGCATCTCTTTGGTTGTAAACAAAGACACGCCACTCCTTTGCTGATTTATTCCCTCTGTTAACTCTTAAGTTCATTTGTAATATTCTATTTTGTCCACTTTCAAACCTCAAATAGCTTTACATCAGCCAGTCCCTCTTGGTTTTCTCCAGCCTTTGAAAAGCTACTTCTAGGGCCAAAAGACATAACATGTATCCTTTTATGTAGACAATTTGTAATTTTCACATTTTTCTTATGCTTCTCTTTAATGGTCCAGGAACACTCTTGGACTCTCTCTTAAAAAGTGGACGTATTTCTTTGGGTTTATTTTCCCTATCAGACAAAACCACCAGGGTTTTGCTATAGTCTTAGAGTTGTGATTCGCCAGCTGCTGATCCTTGGCAAGCGGCAGGCTCGGGGTGGGAGACTATGTGGGACCCTGCTGAGACAAAGAACTAGAGGAGGTCCTCTTTCCCTCCACAGCTCCCACCCCAGACTCAACACAATTCCTCCTCGTAATGACTGTTGGGAGCCCTGGTAGCGCAGTGCTTAAGGTGCTCGGCTGCTAACCAAAGGGTCAGCGGTTCCAACTTACCAGCCACTCTGCAGGAGAAAGCTGTGGCAGTCTGCTTCCGGAAAGATTTACAGCCTTGGAAACCCTATGGGGCAGTTCTACTCTGTCCTGTAGGGTCCCTATGAGTTGGAACTGACTCGACGGCAACAGGTAATGATTGCTGCAAAAGGAAGTTTCCAGTTTCTAAAAACATAAATTGGTCAACTATCTCTAAATAGACGAATCACTACAGTGGACTTAAAAATTTAACTCCGTTTCCCTCATTCAGCTTGAGGATGGACTGTAAGCTAATTGCTAGTGAAACTGCAGGCACAAACAGGACGTTTGTTTTGCCTCTGGATTGGATAGAGGATCCACCAATACATGTATCCAAACTGAGTATCTCTTTTGCCAAAATCATTTCTGCTGTCTGAGTGAGGCAGGTGATTGAGAAATGACATTAATTTCCTGGGATCTAAGAAAATTTATGGCCTGGACTCAAACTACCGGTTGAGTTATATTCCCTAGGGCTTGGGGATCATGTTTTGCCAATGAGCAAAGTAAAATGATTTTTAAACCGCTCTATAAAAATAAAAGCCACACCCTCTGAAACACAATGCACCCACGAGGGCGTACAGGGACAAGAACAACGACAGCCATGCTCAGAGACACTGAGGCGATCACCACCAGAAAAAGCAGCGCCATGAAGCCCCTAGACTGTATGCCTAGCACACAGTAGGCACTCAATAAACAGCAGCTACTGTTGGAAGAAGTACAGCCAGAGTGCTCCTTAGAAGCGAGGATGGTGAGACTTTGTCTCACATACTTTGGACGTGTTATCAGGAGGGATCAGTCCCTGGAGAAGGACATCATGCTTGGTAAAGTAGAGGGTTAGTGAAAAAGAGGAAGGCCCTCAACGAGATGGATTGGCACAGTGGATGTAACAGTGGGCTCAAGCATAACAGTGATCATGAGGACGGTGCAGGACCAGGCAGTGTTTCGTTCTGTTGTACACGGGGTCGCTAGGAGTTGGAACTGACTCCACAGCACCTAACCACAACCACAGCCATTGTTAGAGGTCCCTGGTGGCTCAAATGGTTTGTGCTTGGCCACTAACCTAAAGGTGGGTGGTCTGAACCTACCTAGTGGTACCATGGAAGAAAAGGCCTGGTGAACTGCTTCCATAAAGATTATAAGCTAAGAAAACACCATGGAGCAGTTTTACTCTGTAACACATGGGGTCACCATGAGTCAGAATGAACTCGACCGCAATGCATTTGGTTTGTTTTTTCTGTTGCTAGGGAGTCTGCAGACCAAAGGCAGTTAGGGGGGAAACTGGTACTAGCTATTCTGAAACCCTCTCCTTTCGCGTACTTACTGTGTCTCAGCCCCCAGCAGCATCTCCACTTTCTCATTCGCGTGGTTGCTGAGGACTGTCAGAGTGAAGAGGTGACTGGCAGAGCTCTGTCTTGAATAGAGCATTGTGGAACTGTTCTTCCCTGGAGAAGGATTAAACTCTTCATTGTCACAAGATTCCACCAACAGCTGATCCCGTAAAGAATAATCATTGACGTTGTAACTTTCTTCACTGTAAGGAAAAAGGGGGAAAAATGTCAGTTACTCAGTACATAAGACTGTGACACTGTCAGTTTTCAAGTCACGTTTTGGGGGAAAGTGGGAGAAGGCAGGGAGCGCAAAGAGGGAGAGAATAATTTATTTTAAAATATGAATTGAAATTTGAATTGTAACCACTCATTATGAATCAATATAAAACCAAACCAAACCCACCGCCATCAAGTCAATTCCAACTCATAGTGACCCTGTAGTACAGAGTCGAACCACCCCATAGGGTTTCCAAGGCTGTCATCTTTACAGAAGCAGACTGCCAGATCTTTCTCCCATGGAGCAGCTGGTGGGTCCAAACTGCCAACCTTTCAGTTAGAAGCCAAGTGCTTTAACCACTGTGCCACCAGGGCTCCTTGTATCAATATAAAGCCCCCCCCAGATTAAACCTGCTTATGACTGTTTTTCTGTAATGTACTAAATTGTATCTTAGGTATAAAATCAACGTTTTTTAAAAAAAAGTCACCAAACCCTCTAGGTTTCACTTTAAGTCATCCTGAAACTGTTAAAACGAGTGAGACTTGCACACACCCTGGTAATGCTCCAACAGGCTTCTACACCACCATTCGCAGGATGAGCGGGAGCCCCAACCTTGCACATGCTCTGGGGTAACGGTGCCTCGATCTCAGCCTCCAAGTCTCCACATGAAGGAGAGAAGAGTGCCAGAGGTCTGCCTGCGTCTGCAAGATGCCCACCCATCCCTCTCTGCAATACTCACAGCCTCGTTATCTGCTTCAGAAACCAAAACCACTCCCATCATCCCATCTCTTCCTATGCTACCTCCTCAGAAAAAAAAAACCCTTGCTGTCGAATCGATTCTGACTCATGGCCACCTCACACGTGTCAGAGTAGAACTGTACACCATAGGGTCTTCAATGGCTGCTTTTTTGGAACTACACTGCCCGGCCTTTCTTCTGAGGGCTTCTGGGTGGACATGAACCTCCAGCCTTTCGGTTAGCAGTTGAGGGTGTTAACTGTGTGCACCTCCCTGGGACTCAGCTTATGCTCAAGACCCCCAGACTCTCCTCCCATGGTGCTGTATATATCCCTAATCTGGCCCACCTCCTTCAGCTTCTCAGCTCCTGGACGCACACCACCATGTCCTCTGGGAATGTACAGTCAGCCATGCAGTAAAGCCCCCTAAATCCTCAGCCTCTGCTCTGGACACTCCCTTTACCTTCTGGCCCCAACAGTAGTCCGGCTCTCCCCAGAGGGCACTGCTTCCTCTGGAGGCACTCTGCCTGGTGGAAGGTGGGCTGGGGTCCTGCCTTCTTCTCACTGCTGATTCTACACCACTGTTCTGAAAAGCCCTCAGCCCTGAAGCTCATCTCGTAATCACTGCACCCACAGACCCCTGGACCACTCCCCATCTTCCTTCAGGAATTTCGTTTCTGGCTCACTGTCTCCCTCCAATATGGCTTCTTTCATCATTCATGACGGTTTCAATTTCCACATGGTGGATACTTCCATTGCTCTGGTCTCTCAGTTTCCTGACTTCTTCTCCAGCGATCTTGTCCTCCGCTTTTCTTTAGCCACCCACCTGTGGTCACTCCCTAGACAGGCCTTGTCGTTACCATCAACTACACGCCACCAGGGCTCCACCATCAAATACCACCAAAAAAAAAGAAAATGACTGTTGCCGTTGAGTCAATTCCAACTCACTGCGACCCTATAGGACAGAGTAGAACTGCCCCACAGGGTTCCCAAGGAGCAGCTGATGGATTGAAATGCTGACCTTTTGCTTAGCGCTGAGTTCTTAACCACTGTGCCATCAGGGCTTCCCATCAACTAGAGCGGTCTCAAAATACCAGTGTCAAACACGGCACTCTAACCGTCACCTCACGTCTCACCAGCTCAATGCCTCTAATCCTCAACTCCACCAATTCTTCAACCCACCCCTTCCTAGATCCACTGACTACGTCCCACATGTCCTTTGACCCACACGTAGTAATCACCCAGCTCGGATTTCTTGGTACCCAGTTATAATCACTCCTTGCACACTCAACTTCTTGGTCACTCTTTCCTGGCAACTGCCCCCTTGCAACTAAGCGTGACAGAGCTCAATAAACAATCATTGACTAAACAGATGAATATACTTTAAGTTCTAATATATTCTAGGGACAACATCCAACACCTACTTAACAATAATACATACAAATGTATGAACTCAGGAGAGCTAAAAGAAATGAGAAAGTCTTGTACCCAATTAAATGTGCTAGAAATTTCGGAATAAGCCACTCTGTCCACAATTTCTTGGAATTTTCTTTCATTTGGTGTTGACTTCTGTTTGTCAAGCACTCCCTTCTAGCTTTGCTTGAAAAGCTTTATAATTCTTTCTAAAATTTAGTTTGATGGATTCTTCCCTCAAAAAACAGCAAACACGCTTATCATCTGTAAAAGCCCAATATTGCCTTTCTGATCAAACGCCTTTGTTGCTAAGGTAACAATCTGTATTGATTCAAAGTTCATGTGGCAAGGTCATCTCCAGTGCTCTCCCAAGACCTTGTTCAGACCAGCACAGCCACACCCAGAATATGCAACATACGTGGTGGAGCCTCAGAGGAAGGAGAGGAGATGCTACAGCCAGATGCAGATACTGACGACCCCACCCCCTCTCTGCATAGAACCTCCAGTGAGTACAAGGCCGGCTGTGCTGGGTTGGCAAAGAAGCCCCCTTCCTGAGGGAAGCTGATGCTAATCAGACTTCCCCGTGTTTGTCTCTACCATTTCACAAACATAGGGTTTACATAGTTTCCGAAACAATCTGGATCGTGCAATTAGGAAGTTAAACTGCTCAGAAACAGGCAAATGGAAAAACCACCTTTCCTCATGTGGAGAGGTTTATATGTAGACTTCCTCCGATTGTCCGATGCACGGCTCCACGTTTACCAGCTGCTCGTCAATGCTGTCCGCTCTGTGCAGGCAGCGGCTCCTATTAGGGGCAGCAATCAAATCTAGACGCCTCCGTTGCTCTGTGGTGCAAACAATGAGCGCTCTCCCTGTTAAATCCCACTTAAGTCCCAGTAACCTTTCTTGAGATTTCTTTCTTTTCTTTTTAACAGAATAAAGAACTATTAGTAAAGAACAAGACATGAGAGCAAACACATATCTCCACTGTTTTTCCCTCTGGGAAGCATTCTTGGTTAAGCAGCTTAGACAGTGTTTGGTTTTACTGTATGCAGCCTGACAGTGTGGGCAGAAAAATGACACTTTAATGAGAAAAGCAGATTTCTCTAAGAGGTCATTAAGAAGTAGTTTAACTCTCCGTCCCAAAAATTTCTATAAAGGTTGGCATTTTGATAATGGGCACCTATCTCTTACTTTTAAATCAGGAAAACATTTTAAAACTGCACACAGCATACATACATTTTTAAAATACAAAACTCCATGAACGGGGAGGTCTGCTTAAGGAGTACTGAGGGCTGTTGAGGGTAATGAAAAGATCTGGAAACGGACAGTCCCGATGGACACACAACACGGCGAACGTAATCAATGTCACTGAATGGTATATGTACAAATGGTTAACGGCATATGCTTCCTGTATATACTTTACCACAATAAAAAAAAAAAATACATATGAATGCACAGTAGTGGGTGTATGAACGGCAGCTCAGTAGTTACTCTGGAGAGGAGGAGGAGGAAGAAGAGATGAAGGTAGAGGGCTTTAGGTACATCTGCAGTATTTTATCTCCTTTCCGTTTAAAAAGGAGAGATCAGATGCCACTATGCCAAAGTTAGTATCTGTTAAATCTGGACAACCGTATGTTAAACCCAGTCGATCCTGACGCATAGTGACCCTATGGGACAGAGTAGAACTGCCCCCAGAGGATGTCCAAGGAGCAGATGGTGGACTGGAACTGCCGACCTTTTGGTTTAGAAACCCTATGGGGCAGTTCTACTTTGTCCTGTAGGGTTGTTATGAGTTGGAATCGACTTGATGGCAATGGGTTTGGGGTTTTTTTGGCTGTAGGAGCCATGTAAGGAGCCCTGGTTGTGCAGTGATTAAGCGCTCCGCTGCTGACTGGAAGGTTGGAGGTTTGAACCCACCAGCTGCTCCTGGGGAGAAAAGATCTGGAGATATGGTCACATAAAGATTTCAGCCTCGGAAATACGATGGGGCAGTCCTACTCTGTCCTGTAGAGTCGCTGTGAGTCAGAAACGACAAAAAACGACAAATAACAACAACAACAAAGAACCACGTGGAAAAAAACAGTTGGATCCCAACCTCACCCCTTAAACCGGGATTCGCCCTTGGTCCCAAGCTCTCAGTAGGTAACAGTCATGAGGAAGAGGTAGGTGACAGGACAGACAGGTATTTCCCCTCCCTGCAGGCCCATCAGGGCCTGCCTTGTGATCGGAGGGGTGCTAGGTACAGATAATACCTTAACCTTGATTAGCAAGCACCTTATGTACTTACCAAAGACGAGCAAGAATGGGCAAAGGCCAGACCCCAGGGCGGGTGAAAGGAAAGGGGATGGGGGAGGAGAGGCCAGGGAAGGGTTAGATGGTAAAGGCAGGTGGGCTTCCTCTCCGCCCACTGCTTGACAGTCCTAGCTTCTGGGCCATGACGAGCAGCCTCAAGTCCTACCTTTGTTCTGAAATTCTCTCACTTACAGCCAGAAGCTAAAAGACTGGAAACCCAACCAGTACTCCCAGTTCTTCCTTTCGTAAAGGGTAAAATTAAATTTAAAAGAAAAGATGCTATCAAGATTTACCCAAAACAAAGCACATCAATTTTCTGCATATACGCTCAGACGGTGCCATTTGCTTGGTACCTGTTCAGTGGTTCCCCTTCCGTAGCCTTCACTTAAAACATTCATGCAGCCACCCTGTCCTGAAAACACCTTGACTTGAATTAGCTTGTCCCAAGACAAATTCCTCATGAGCCAGCAGCTGCCTGGAGCCCTGGTGGTGTCGTGGTTAAGAGCTCAACTGCTAACCAGAAGGTCAGCAGTTCAAATCCAA